CCCCCACAGGACTTACCTCCATACCCCTGGGACTTACCTCCATCACGACGGCACCGATGGTGGATCTGCCCACCCCGAATTGGTGTGCCACCAATCGGTAGCTGTCTGGGGTGGCCATCTTCCAGACTGCGATGGCGACCCTCTTCTTGATGGGTATGGGTGCCCGCAGCCGGGTGGTAGCTCTCTGGAGTGCGGGGGAGAACCAGGCACAGAGCTCCAGGAACATCCGCTTTCGCATGTGGAAGTTCCAGAGCCATTGCTAGTCGCCCCACTTCCCCAGGACCAGCCAGTCCCACCAGTCGGTACTGGTGTCCAGTCTCCACAGTGGCCTCTCCACCCTGGGGTGGGGATGCCACAGGGACGCCATGGCCTCCCTGGTGAGGGAGTCCAAAACAGTCTGCGCCTCCTGGTCCTGGAACAGGAGGGCACCAGCCTGGAGCACCAGCTGCAGGTACTCAAATGGCCGGCAGTGGCCAATAACACCTCAAGGGCAGTCCTGGACCAAACGCTCTGAAAAAGCAGCACATAAACATGAATTGTCTCTCCTCAGCCCCATGAGATAAGTGGCGGTTTCTCCATTTAACAGATGGGGAAGTAGAGGGAACAAAAAAGGTCTGGATTGTGGTCTATGGATGTAGCCCTCCACTGAAGCAGCATGCATGCACATTGTCCTTGTGTTCCAGGGGCAATTTGGCAATCAGCACCTTATAGCTCCAGCACATGTCAAAAAGGAGCTCCAGCCCCCACCCTTGGAAAGAGCTGGTGCCCTTTTGCCCTCGAAGAACTTTTCTTTATGCACCCTCTCCACGCCACTCATGCTTTTCATAGAATCATAGAATAATAGGACTGGAAGGGACCTCAAGAGGTCATCGAGTCCAGCCCCCCGCCCTCAAGGCAGGATCAAGCTCTGTCTACACCATCCCTGACAGATGTCTATCTAACCTGTTCTTAAATATCTCCAGAGAGGGAGATTCCACCACCTCCCTTGGCAATTTATTCCAATATTTGACCACCCTGACAGTTAGGAATTTTTTCCTAATGTCCAATCTAAACCTCCCCTGCTGCACTTTAAGCCCATTACTCCTTGTCCTGTCCTCAGAAACCAAGAGGAACAAATTTTCTCCTTCCTCCTTGTGACACCCTTTTAGATATTTGAAAACCGCTATCATGTCCCCCCTTAATCTTCTTTTTTCCAAACTAAACAAGCCCAGTTCATGAAGCCTGGCTTCATAGGTCATGTTCTCTAAACCTTTAATCATTCTTGTTGCTCTTCTCTGTACCCTTTCCAATTTCTCCACATCTTTCTTGAAATGTGGCGCCCAGAACTGGACACAGTACTCCAGCTGAGGCCTAACTAGTGCAGAGTAGAGCGGCAGAATGACTTCACGAGTTTTGCTTACAACACACCTGTTGATACAACCTAGAATCATATTTGCTTTTTTTGCAACAGCATCACACTGTTGACTCATATTCAACTTGTGGTCCACTATGACCCCTAGATCCCTTTCTGCCATGCTCCTTCCTAGACAGTCGCTTCCCATCTTGTATGTATGGAACTGATTGTTCCTTCCTAAGTGGAGCACTTTGCATTTCTCTTTATTAAACCTCATCCTGTTTACCTCTGACCATTTCTCTAACTTGCTAAGGTCATTTTGAATTATGTCCCTATCCTCCAAAGAAGTTGCAACCCCACCCAGTTTGGTATCATCTGCAAACTTAATAAGCGTACTCTCTATCCCAATATCTACATCATTGATGAAGATATTGAATAGTACGGGTCCCAAAACAGACCCTTGCGGAACTCCACTTGTTATCCCTTTCCAGCAGGATTTAGAACCGTTAACAACAACTCTCTGACTACGGTTATCCAGCCAATTATGCACCCACCTTATCGTGGCCCTATCTAAGTTATATTTGCCTAGTTTATCAATAAGAATATCATGCGAGACCGTATCAAATGCCTTACTAAAGTCTAGGTATATGACATCCACCGCTTCTCCCTTATCCACAAGGCTCGTTATCTTATCAAAGAAAGCTATCAGATTAGTTTGGCATGACTTGTTCTTCACAAACCCATGCTGGCTATTCCCTATCACTTTATTACCTTCCAAGTGTTTGCATATGATTTCCTTAATTACCTGCTCCATTATCTTCCCTGGGACAGACGTTAAACTGACCGGTCTGTAGTTTCCTGGGTTGTTCTTATTCCCCTTTTTATAGATGGGCACAATATTTGCCCTTTTCCAGTCTTCTGGAATCTCCCCTGTCTGCCATGATTTTTCAAAGATCATAGCTAAAGGCTCAGATACCTCCTCTATCAGCTCCTTGAGTATCCTGGGATGCATTTCATCAGGACCTGGTGACTTGCTGACATCTAACTTTCCTAAGTGATTTTTAACTTGTTCTTTGTGTATCCTATCTTCTAAACTTACCCTCTCTCTGCTTGTATTCACTACGTTAGGCACACCTCCAGACTTCTCGGTGAAGACCGAAACAAAGAAGTCATTGAGCATCTCCGCCATTTCCAAGTTCCCTGTTACTGCTTCTCCCTCCTCGCTAAGCAGTGGGCCTACCCTGTCCTTGGTCTTCCTCTTGCTTTTAATGTATTTATAAAAGGTCTTCTTGTTTCCCTTTATGCCTGTAGCTAGTTTGATCTCATTTTGTGCCTTTGCCTTTCTAATCTTGCCCCTGCATTCCCGTGTTGCTTGCCTATATTCATCCTTTGTTAGTTGTCCTAGTTTCCATTTTTTATATGACTCCTTTTTTATTTTGAGATCATGCAAGATCTCCTTGTTAAGCCAAGCTGGTCTTTTGCCATATTTTCTATCTTTCCTACACAGCGGAATTGTTTGCTTTTGGGCCCTTAACAACATCCCTTTGAAATACAACTGAGGAGAGTTGGAAGTTTTTCCCTTCAGTCTTGCTTCCCATGGGACCTTACCTACAAGTTCTCTGAGCTTATCAAAGCTGCCTTCCTGAAATCCATTACCTCAATTGTGCTGGTCTCCCTTCTACCTTTCCTTAAGATCATGAACTCTATTATTTCATGATCACTGTCCCCTATACTGTCTTCCACTTTCAAGTTCTCAACTAGTTCCTCCCTATTCGTTAAAACCAAATCCAGAACAGCTTCTCCTCTGGTAGCTTTTTCAACCTTCTGAAACAGAAAGTTGTCTCCAATGCAGTCCAGAAACTCATTGGATAGCCTGTGCCCCTCTGTGTTAGTTTCCCAACATATGTCTGGATATTTGAAGTCCCCCATCACCACCAAATCTTGGGCTTTGGATAGTTTTGTTAATTGTTTAAAAAAAGGCCTCATCCACCTCTTCCACCTGGCTAGGTGGCCTGTAGTAGACTCCTAGCATGATATCACCCTCATTTTCTACCCCTTTTATCATTATAACAATAACTCCGTGCCAGTCTAGATGCATTTTTGCACAAATACTTTTAACGGAAAAACTTTTCTGTTAAAAGTATTTCCGCAAAATCATGCCAGTCTAGACATAGCCAAGTATGATTTCACTTCTAAAGTTCAGACTGAACAGTTATTTCTTAGCCTCAGAAAGGTAGCCCTATAGTCTAACTTTAAAAACAAGTAGTCCTGTGGCAACCTAGAGGCTAACAAAAATATATAGGATCATGAGTTTTTCTGCATAAGATCCATTTCATCAGATAAGTTGGAGTGGAAATAACAGAATCCTAGAGAGATACACACAGCATAGAAATCCTGCCATTGGAGGACCTGTTTTACTGAAGCTAATTAAGAGGGCTGGATATGTCCCATTCGTAGGTTTTGATGCTGAAATGTGGATGTCAAAGGTAGGGGAAATTGGTTTTGTAGCACATTAATTGGTTAATGTCTTTATTCAAGCCCAGAATAGCAGTGTCAGATTTTTAGATGACCTCCACTTATGCAGTCTCTCTTTGTATTTGGGTAGTAAAAGTCCTCTGTAGAAGCATTGTTATTTTTAAATCCATCTTTGAGTGATCAGGTAGATTAAAATGCTCCTCTTTAAGTTTGTGTGTGTTATCATTGCTAGTGTCTGATTTGTGTCCATTTATCCTTTGTCCGAGAGTTATTTCTTGTTCATAACTGGCCAGAATAAAAGCATTAAAAAAATTACTAAATGCCAGTTTTAAACAACCCATCAATAAGGAGCGTAACTTTTCCTAGGAACTGTCAAGACAATTCACCAAAGTGTCTGAACACATTTTTACTTGTTATTGACCAGAAATATAGTTAGGATTCCTGATACAAAATCAGGATGATCTCCAGATAAATAGTATATTCACTTACCATACCACCAACCACTAAGAAAACCCTAACAGTTTGGCAGAACACTTTTTTTTTTTTAAAAAGACCACTTTGGATAACTTTCAATTTTGTCATAATGGAATTGGAACTGGTTTGAATAATTAAAGCATGTATGCAAACTGATTGATTGAGAAGTCAGAAATACTAAGTCTCTTTCTAAAGCCTCCAGCCACTTACCAAAAATATCAATATAAAGTGCCTTTTGGATGCAAGCAATACCAAAGAACCACCACACAAATGCCATTACATGACAGCTGTTTATTCCCCTTATTTTTAACCCAGAGCAATAAAGCATACACTTCTATAAAGAGAAATCTATTGTAAGAGATTTTATATGGAGAAAATCCATAATTGAAAGGAATTTTTACTTTAGTATTTCCTTAATTCCTAATTTCACATTTCCAATTAGTTAGGAGGGGTTACAAAAATAAGTGATGCCATTATACAGATACTTGCCACTGACTCCATGCTAAATTGTTAGCATATCTATTTAATAGAAGTTAATGTCACAATTGTAAGTAAGCCATTTGTAGTCTTGACTAAGAGTATTGGAAAATATTCTGAAGTATGTAGCAATAAAGTGGTGTTTACATGTTACCTACAAGTACATTTAGTAGCTATCATATCTTCATATTCTTTGTAGACTATAGACCCATCAGGCTCTATTGTCAAGACACTCAAGGGGTTATGAGGAGTCCAGTTTCTCATATATGATGTTCTGTACCATTGTATGGACAGGAGAGCCATAACGATGCCCAACCACCCTTGGGCAGTCACCTTTGCAATATTGAGGGCTGTATCTGTGTGGTGCTATTATCCATTTATCCCACTTGAGTTGGCTAAAACTTAGTCGGAAGTTGTGAAGCTCACATTCATTTTGGGGAAACAGGAACTTTTTGAAGTACTCACTCAAGTTATAGGTTGGAGGAGATGGATTCTCTTTCACATCTTCATCTCGTCGGTGGCGAGATGCCCTTTTATTCTGCATATTTTCTGATCCCTTTTCTTCCATGGAATCTGCAAGTGGATTATTTCTCCATCTGGACCACACTGGAGTCTTCCTTATATGTCTAAGGGAATTCCACCTACGATAAGCTTGCTCACTGGTGTCATTTAGGTACAATAGAAGTGAAGGAGGCACCAGTGCCATGCTAAAGGAATTTCCCTGTTTAGAATTTTGGTGTTGATCATCTTTCAGACAAGTGAAATTCACAGCCATATGGATACTCCTCCTGTTAGAGGCAATTAGAGGCTGAAGAAAAGGGGTTACATCAATCTCAACCCACTTGCGTCTGAGTTCAAAGTGCAGATTAAAAGTAATTGACTGCGGTACATTGGGACACACTTGAGTAGAGGGATCATTTTCCTTAACAGCTAAGTGGCATGTGCATGTATTGGCAGAAAAACTAAAAACTGATCTGTCAAAGGAGTAGAGCAAGACGGACTTGAGTAAATGCTCCAGCGTAGTAACACGATCCAGATTGAAAAGCAGATCCACTGAGCGAAGGTCTTCTGAGAAAGGAAACAAAGTATCTGTAACAAAGTATCTGTAGAGATTAAACCATTTTCAGTGGCACTTGACAAGTGTGCATAATCAAACAGAAATAAGTCATTAAAAAGGGAAGAAATTTAGACCAACATTCAATGCAACTTAAATTTGGTAGTCTGGCAGAGAATGTCGAAAAGGTTCCAAAATCTTACTCTAAGAAAATGCACCAGTCTGTCGTATATATACACAATTTTATACACACATACCTTTGACATTTTGGAGGAGCAAACAATGGTGGATTCACCTGTTGGCTCCACACCCTGGTCCCATAGATGGGACAACACTAGTTAACTAGTGATACTTCATAAAAAAAGGGCAACTTTTTTTGTTATGTTAAGGAAGGAAAAAATGCAAAACTGAATATGGCAGCAATGGTAGGGTATGTCTATACTACAGAGTTTTGTTGGAAAAACAGCCATTTTTCTGACAAAACTTGAGGAACGTCCACACTGCAATTGAGTTCTTCCACAAGAAAATTGAAAAGACAGAGGGGGTTTTCTGGCATTGGTAATCCTCATTCTATGAGGAAGAAGCCTTTTTACGAAAGAGCTCTTTCACAAAAAGGCGTGTGTGGACGGGGAAGAGGGAGTTCTTTCAGAAAAAGAGGAAAAAGCACAGGTGCCCTGTTGGCCAGTCCATCCACTGCTTACATGCAAGAGAGCATACATTTAGTCAGGACGCTCTCTTGAAAAAGCAGATCGCTTTTTCGATGCACTGTTGCAGAGTGGACGCTCTCTTTTGGAAGAAGTTTTGAAAGATCTCTTCTGAAAGAAGCCTGTAGTCTAGTCGTAGCTGTAGAGAAAGAAAGATCTTTGCAGGCTTTCTATAGGTATTAAAAATAGTGGGTGAAGAGGATCCTATAGAAATAAGATTATGTATAAAAGTATTTCTTGTGTTCAGCTTTGAATTTGCCATCTTCCCATTTCATTGATTGCCTCCCCATATCAACAAACAGGGAAAACAGATACTCCTGAATTATCTTTTCATACCATTTGCTATTTTGACTAATTTATCACATTCCCCTTTTACTTATCTGCTTTCTAAGGTAAAGAATTCCAGTTCTTTCATTTGGAGCATTTCCCCCATGTTACTAATAATTGTTAGCCTTCTGAACTTCCTTAATTCTTCATCCTTATTTTTGAGAAAAAGGCCACTAACTACAGAGAATATTCTAAATGAGGGCTTTATGAATTTAGTGTAGATGCACTAACCCTTAAGTTGTTTGCTTTTTTGAAATGAGCTGCACAGAGAGATGGTGAGTGAGTTCCAAATTTAGCCATCTGAATAGTTACAATAATATAGAAGATAACTTAGGAGATGCACCCATTAATAACAGTTTTTGCTTTTAAGCATTTTATTATCATGCTACATAGGGGATTTTGTAGCAATGCACCTAAAACAGTAGTTTGACTGCAGTTTATACATCAGGTCATAATCAATAAATCCTATTGCTTTTATAAAATCTTAACTTTGGAGCACTTCACCTTAAAATATGTGATGAAGGTTCACATCTGTAGCCAGACTTTATTTAAAAAAAAAAAAAAAGGGGGAGAAATCCTGAGTCAGAGTTGAAGTAACATGTCCACAGTCATACATGCAGGATTAGAAGTCAGGGATTGCTGGTTGCCAGTCTTGTGATCAGACCACATCTTTCACCCCACCCCATTATTCTCTGCTTGAAGCTTCTCGACTGCAGCATTAAGTTATTTGAAGTCATGCATTACAAATATGGATATTCATAGGGTGGGGGGGAAGAGTGTTTGGTTCTTCTCTGGTAGAAAGTAGATGAAGTACAGTGGACTGATTTGAAAAAGGTCCTCTTGTATTTGGATCCTAACACATCATTAATAAGATCTGATTACAGAGGCAGAGTTTGCTGACTTTAAATTCTGCATTTTACACATGGCAATAAAAGAACATAAGGCATCTAGCTAGCAGATGTCAGTCACTTCTTTTTCCTTGCTTGACTCAAAAGGTACAAAACAAAAAAATCAGTTTATCTTAAAATGGCCATGCTGGATTGTTCTAAAATGTATTTAGGGGTAAGCATCAGTTTGGATGTGAGAATTATGTAGGTTCAAAGACCTAAGTTATGGCAAAGCCAGACCTAAACTCCTTTTAAGGCAAGGCATATTATGAAAAGACCTCTCCAGTGCAAGAGAAAAGTCATCCAGTAGGTATAATAGATACAGATCTGCAGAGATTACACGTTTCTTTATTTCACCCCATTGAAGGAACAAGGGGGGGGGGGAAGGAAAGAGAGAATTTTAATTATATCTCCCCCAAACACACATCTTTCCTCACCTACCTTTTATTTGGTCCCTGTGGTGGTGCTCACACTCAGCACATGGAGCGAGGAGTCTTACAGTGTTATAGAGATGACTTTTGTTGGCTTTGGGGATTCCTTCTTTTGTAGCAGACATCTTATATAGCCTCTTCATATACCTAAGGGCTCTGGAATTTGGCTGGAGTCTTGGGACCTCACTTTCCCAACTGTGAGGTCTCTGGTCAGACAGCACCTTGAGAAGAGGTGGCAGGAGGGTATAACCTTTTCTCACACCTGGCGGCAATAGCAACAATGGAGGCTCATCCTCAGGAACAAACAACAGCTCAGGCGTCTTCTCAGACACTGTCTCATCCCTAGAGCTGGGGGAACACAGAGCAACAGAAGAAAGCAGGCGAACACAATAATACAAACAGATAAAGATTTTCCAGGGAATTGCCATGCTGCTGGAGGCCATAGTAGAAAAACCCTCATCCCATGACAGGTTGTATCTTAAAACAGAAAAATAACTAAGCCTGGCCTCTTAAATATATTTCAGGTGTGAGTGGGAAGGAAGTATCTCTCTGTTTACACCAAACGGAGAGATCTACAGCTGGAGAGTGAATCCAAATGGCCATTTGAGTTCAGGCTAGAATCTTTGCACATGTAGGCACTTTGAAAACTAGCACACCACTCTCACCACTTACCCATTTTCACATGGAAACCATTAGTGATTATGAAAGGTACTAATTAATTAGCATGTTTATTCTCTCCAGAAGGGACAAGGGGAAATGATGGATCAATAATACTTATTTTAGTTGGCTATAACTACAACCCTAAAGCAGCTTGTGGCATTCAAACATGTTTTTACCACAATAATAATTCTGCCCCCCAATCCCAACCCCCCAAAAAGTAACTGGTTAAAAAACCTCAATGATAATCTTTCAATGAGCTGGTAAGTAAAAGGTTTCTATAGGAAAAAATTGAAATGGGGTTTTGTCAGCCGACGGTCAGGGCAGTGTGTGTGTGTATGTTTCCGAGAAAAGGTTTAACATCCGTGCCTTTACTGCTAGGACCGGGGTCCCATCGCAGAGGGTGGCCAGCAGGCCAACAGACGCCCCGTTATATAGGAAGAGCTTATTACATCTTAGATTTCAGCTGCTAGAATTTCATAATCCCTTCGCAGCGGGCAGCCTTGAGGAAAGACTGAAAGATGCCCCAGTGGGTCCTGTCACCTGGGAGTGACACAGATCCAAACGCCCAAGCTCTTCCTATAACTGTCCCTTTAGACCGGCTGAAGTTCTTTTAAATTGTGCTTGGTTCTGTTACAGCAACTGAAGGAGGCAGGTTAAAGCTTAAACAGTTACAGGTTTATTAAAGAAGCTTATAAATCATATGGTTACAATGGCTATTGCTCTATTTCTTAACTATTAGCAAAATATAGGTCTTAAAAATGGTTACAAAGAAGATAAAGATAGAAAAATAGAAATAATGGTACCAAGTAACAGCTTACTCTTTCTATGTGTACACTTAAGACAGAGGACCACATCCAGGTACCATTTTTACCCCCTTCTGTGCCTCTCGACTCCAGCATGTCAGGCCAGGGCCGGTCCCTCAATTCCTAGGAAAGACGAAAATACGAGGTGGGCGTCCCCATAGAACCTCGGGAGGTCAAACACCTAACCCGACCAGCAGGTAGAGGGTAGAATGACACTCAAAGTGAGTGTGTGCTGGGCCCATCTTTTATAATCATGAGGTCACGTATTTCTCTTTCTTATCTTAATTGCCAATTGATGCTGGTCTGTCTGCTGTGAGACCAGTTCTTACAAGGGAGTTGTGAACTTAATTTACACTTGTAAGAGAGATTTGAGATGATTAAATTTTGAAGTACAGGACATTGTTTTCTCAGTGGAAAATTCCTCTCAGGGACTGTGTGTGTGTTCGAATCAACATAGGGGCCAGCCGCAGCCTCGAGGCCAGCTTATTGACATTAGCTGCTCTCTCTCCACGTATCTGTGTTTCAGCTTCTCAGGATCAGATGAGCCAGCATAGACTATGCTGATATTATTGCTCCTTCTCTGTCCTGTATGCTTCAGAGAGGCAAATAAGATGGATAATATGGAGGCAGGCTGTCTGGCCACATTCCACCCCCTGATACGACACACCACATCCCAGGAATGCAAGATGGTGGCTTGCCAGTGCCTCTTGCCCACCTTGGAGGAATTTAAAAGTACCCAATGGCCTGATTAGAGGGTTTAGGATCTAGGAATTGACTAGGGACCTTTCCTGGTTATGTGTATTGAATGTGCACACAAGAGATAGCTACATTATCTAGGCATTGCACAATACATAGGGTTATGCAGAAAAGGAGTACAACAATCAAAACAATTAAAACAGTGGTCATAATAGAGTGTAGGAAAGGAGTTAAGGAAAGTTCTAGCTGTTGGGCTAACCAATTTAGCCATGAGTTATTTACATTCTTAGTTACAGCATGTCTTATCCCATACCGTCCATTGCCACTTCCCTTGCCTCCCCCCAAAGTTATTTTGAGGACTGCGGTAGTTGCTGTCATCGAACCATACCGGTCCCCATCTGAAGATGTCACTCTTGTTTCACCAGTCATTTGGGCTGAGAGGGACAAACTCGATTCCCAGTCCAGTGGAGGAGTCAAGTAAGGTGTTCTGGTACAGCAGTAGCAGTTGGGATGAGGAAGAAGACCATGGCGAGTTGGAGTGCCATGTCTCATTTCAATAGTCTGTACCTAACAACAGTGGTTGCAAGCGCTACAACAGCAAGCGGTATATATATATACAAAAGTTCATGGTGGTTTCCCGGATCCACACCAGCACTGGGAGGGATCCATCCCACTGGAGCACTGTTCAGGGTCATTGCCTCAGTTTCCTGTGATAAAACATAAGGTTCGCCGGTCTTGGATACAATCCAAGCCTCAGTAATGGTTATTGGTGTT